TTATTATCATTACCATTATCACTATCATTTTCATTATCATTATCGTCATTATTATTAAATACTAAATTGCAGACAGTATTTTGTAATGAGGATCCTGAAAAAAAATGTTTTTAAAGGATAAATGATAAATCCAATCATTCAATTCACACAAAAAATAAGAATGATTAATTGAAATAAAGAGATTTAAGTCTAAAAATAACATACTGATCCTAATAATAAACGTAATACACGTCTTGAATTTGACCTTGGCATTCTTCCCAACGTTTAGAATAGTGTGATTCTTTTAACGAGTAATACAATGATGCTACGCATTCATCTACACCTATCTCTTCCTCATTTCTACGGCAAATTATTAAAATTTTCAATTTTAGCAGATTTCAATAAAAAAAATTGTTATGCTAAAAGAAATTGAGGACAATCGAAATATGAAACAAACGAAATCATATTCGACACATTTTTTTTTTTTTTTCAAATAGATAATTCGATTAATGCTTGTCATCTCATTTTGATCATAGCGCTACTATATGTTCACGGGTACACGTGAACCGTACACGTAGCTAACCATCTGTCCTGTTACTTATATGTTTTCACGCGTGATTGATTTTATGGAAATATGTGCAAAATATGAGGGAGTGAAAATAGTGGAAGATATGAAATGCGAATGAAAAACGGTAATGAAAATAAGAGAGACAGAGTGGAAAGAGTGATAGGAATTAACCAAAATACATATGGCGAGAGAATGAGGGAATAGAAAATAGTGCGGTAGCGAGGCAATGATACATGAAATTGTTGGAATTTGTGTCATTATTGAATGATGATGTAATCTCGAGATGCGTATATTAATGAGGATCTTCAATGAGGGTATTGATTTCCAGCAGAGGTAATTTTCACGTTTGTGATGTGAAATCTTTGCGTAGATTCTACGGAATTTTAGTTTTTCACATGCGTCGTTAAAAATTTTTTCTTCGTGTATTTTTGTTGATATAAAGTTGATAAGTTTTTATCATGGATGTTATTCCATTAGCAATTCTATGATGAATAAATTCTGGAAAAGTAATACAGTTAATACGTGGAAACAGCTAACATTTATTAGAGCTAATAAACAAGAATTCGATGCGTAAGAGAGCTGAAATGATATCAGACATGTATTGAATATTTCGATTTTATTATTTATGGCATACTTTGATTGTGAATGAAATTATTCAAATTTTCAGGAAGAAAATTTGAATGATTTCATATGTTGCTATATGCGAATTATTCAAATTGTTATGATAAATGATAATGGAATTATTTCAGATCGTAGGACGGAACTTCAGTGATGTTCCATTATCTTTACTATATAATATAGGGCATTGTTTGCACAATAAATTGTTTATTGAGGAAAATGCTGCGAGTAGGTTTTTTTTTTTTTTGATTTACAAAATTTTACTGCTTGGACTTTATTGCAGAAATTTTGAATGAAGCATTAATAAATGTAGTATTCTTGTTAATGCAAACGAAATCATGGTTCATTCACAACTTTAATACCTGTATTTTTTTCTACATCAGGTTTAAAAATTCTTTTCTTTGGATCTTCCGATAAAAATTCAGTCACTGATTTTTAGGGTCCTACTAATCCAGTGGATTTCGATAAAGAATGGACAGAAGCAAAGAGTACGGTGATATCGCTACTGAATCAAAAAGTATGATTTCGAAAATATAAATAATGGAAAATTAATTTTATTTTATAATGTTCTCTTCTTATTTCGTTAGCAAAATGGAAATTATCAGGAGAATGGATAAGTAATTTTAATTTCTACCCTATCAATAGTTGTGCAATTAAATGTAGTGTTCATTTCAATTATATTTTTAGCTGACTTAGACTTAGACGATCTTAATATTGAATTATCAGTTAGTCTAACTCAATAAGTTGTTGAATAAGAGTATCGATTTCGGAAAAGAAGGAAAAAATGAAAATGAGAGCAAACTTACAGTCATCTTTACTCATCAGCTCTTTACTCTGATTTTCGATCATTGATGGCATTTAGTTCCTTTATTATCTCTAAATGTCGTGTTCCGAAAAAATTCTGGGGAACAAATTCGTAAAAAACCATAATAAAAATTAAATATTTCGTTATTATGGCTGTGGTAGTCATTTTATATCCAATCATAGTTATATGCTTGAAGTGAAACGAGTCAATTTACATTGTTCAGTTGGTTATCATGCCTTATTTATACCTAACAATGTTTATATATTCAGGGTGTAAGCAAAGTACAATGGCAGGAGTTGTTCGCTATAGTTCATCGTATATGTGCATGGATCGAAGGAGGTGGTGATATGGTTCGCAGGGAATTAGAAGCAGAAGTACATCGTTATATTATTGCCGCTGAAAGAGTGAGTAATTCGAAATTTAAATTAATGAAAAACTTCGTGATAAAATTAAAGAAAATAACTTCTTTATAATACAGAAAGTTAATTAACGAAATAAACTGAATACTTTTCTTACAGCGCATAATGCAACACGAAGAAGAAAATGCAATTTTAAGAGTTTATATCTCAGAATGGACAAAATTCTACACTCAAACGGAATATCTTCCAAAGCCTTTTTCCTATATTTCGGAACAAAAAAATTTAGTGTTAAAACCAAAAAATTCCGTGAAAGAATCCAATATTGTGGTTTCATCGGTATGTCAGTTTTTTATGCAACACTTAGATCTTTTAATAAAACTAAACTTAATTTTGTTACTTTAGCTTAAATGTTGCGTTTTTATTTGTAATTGCTCCTGGTAAGTTGAACAATCTTTTGAAAGGAAAGAAGAAAAATGTTTTCAAAATTTCCGAAAATTTTCTCGCTTTTGGCTGCATAAGACGGAACAAGATACAAAAATGGATAAAAACTCCATTTTTAAATGATAACACTTGACTTTGTCAAATTATTTGATAACAGAAATGGAGAATTTAAAATCTGGTCACTAATTGTTCGACATTCTAGTTCCAGTCTCCCATATAGGTAGATGAAACGTTTTTTAGATTGTCGCATTTTGAAAATGTCGTTTGTATTTCTCTTAAAATCAACAGGTGATTAGGTTGTGAAATGTTGTAGGTAAATTTCATATTACAGTAATAAGATGGATCTTGTGATAGTCGATAGTTGCATTTCATGCATTTTTTTATTTTGCAGATTATGTTAAATGATTGGGGTAAAACGATTTTTGCGGCTATAAAACATAAGTTGCAAAGTGCAGCAATGCGTCTCGTTGAATTGGAACGAAATGGAGAAGCTTTCGATCCTCAACTTGTTATTGGCGTTCGGCAATCATATGGTGATCTCATTCTGTTATCTATTTTTCTTTTTTGGAACTGATAATTTTTTTGTTATCATAAGTTTTTTTGTTATAATAAGCTTATTTATTGTTCTACGTGGATAATTGAATCGCTGTGATGAATGAAAGGTTTGATAAATGTCAGGAAATTAGCTTCATTTTGAAGTGTACTGTAATGATATGTGCCAATAGATTATCGTTGATTAGTGCAATATGTTTTTAACGAAGTTCAATTTCCAGTGTCACTGAATTTAAATAATGACGATAATTTGGCAGTGTACAAGGATAATTTCGAACGAGGTTATATCGATGATACGGAGAGATTCTATAAGTCTCATGCTCCTCAGGTATTTTTTTTTGTATGACACTTTTTTAGAATTTTGTTAATTTTCGAGAGCACATACTGAAAAAATTGAAATGAAGATTAACTGGATTATTAACTTTCTTTATTTTTAAAGGTTCTGGCTTCGGAAGGTGTACAAAGTTATATGATATATGCGGATACGAAACTGGGTGAAGAAGAAGCGCGTGGAAGACGTTATTTGGAAAGCACAACGGATTCTGTAGAGAAGGTTTGTAATTTTTATGTAGTTACTCATTCTTTTAATTGTTTGTTATAGCTGAATGATTTTTTTTCTTGAATTTTATATCTTTTAAACATTTTAATCATACTTAGCTGGTGGAACGATGCGTTAAAGTGCTCGTGGTTCAATTTCAAGAACAAATTTTAGCTGAATGTTCGGCACTTATCAGTGAAGGACAAAGCGAGAGTAAGATTTTCTGTTGTATCAGAGTTTCATCGTTTATATTAATTACTGGTTGATTCGTGCAATGATCTAGACTCGAGCTTAAGGAAAAAATTGTAATTTGAAACGTATCTTATGTTTCATTAGTATGACGTACATTTCTGGAGGATTCTTTTTCTTGTATTCATATCCCTGTAAAGATTAAATCAACATAGTCTATGAAATCCGCTGTTTATCTTTTAATTGGTGTTCAAATCATTTATCCAAACTTGTTTTAAAATACTTTATTCACCAAGGATTTGTTTTTTAGAGTTAAGAATGTTGTATCGATTAATAAATCGGACATCAGATGGTATTGATACTGTCTTGAAGTTTCTGGATATTTTTATCAGAACTGAAGCTCTGAACGATATGAGAGCAAACGCGAACACTATAACTACAGTTTGTTTCATGAAATTCATTTTTCCTGCAGTAACTTAAGATTTTAAGATCTATAATTTTTAAATTGTAATGTTTGCAAAAGTTTGCAAGCAGTTTAATAAGATTTACAAGAATTTACGACATTTTTTCATTTCAGGATCCTGAAAAATATGTGGAACAATTGTTAACGATGTTTTCAAAATTCAGTCTTCTTGTTGCAGACGCATTTTATGACGATCCACGTTTTTTAACGACACGAGATAAAGCTTTTCAAGATGTTGTCAACGATACTTGCATTTTTAGACTGGAGATTACGAGTTCCAAAGGAAAATGGTTCGCTTTTGTTTTCAGAAAAAGAATTCTTTACTCTTGCCTTTCATGACTTTCCAAACAATTTGTTCGACTTTGCAAATTGAAATTATACAGATAATTGGATTCTTTTGACGCTAATTTGTAGTTATCTTTGCATCAACTTAACCGTCCACAATAATTTCGAAGGACTTGGTAGCTAGAGATCTGTCTCTTCAATTTATTCTCTCTTCTCCGCTTTTTTGTTACACAATTTTAACCTATGAATTTAAGTATGTCATTTCATTGTTATCATTCCTTTTACTTAAACTATTATCTGTCGAAATGTAGAACAATAATTTGATCTGTTCTTTTTTTGCGTTTTTAGCAATAGATTGTTTTCATTGATAGAGGATAAAAATATCTAGAAACTTCAAGACATTATCAATACCATCTAATGTGCGATTTATTACAACATGCTTAATTTTGACCTATTTATATTATCTCTATTTTGACCTATTTATACCTATTTTCATTAATCGCTTTGGTAATTGAAAAATAATGCTGCCTGCTAAAAAAAAAACTTTTCATCGTCCTCTGTACATTTTAAAATTTAAAGTTAAAGATGAGCGTCATACCAATAAATCTACATTATTGAATTTTTAATAATTCTTAAAAACTATTTTCAAATTTTTTTTAGCGCTGGTCGGATACAGGCGGAATCAAGATGTCCAGAATTACTTGCAAATTTCACAGATCTCATTTTGAGAAAAACGAGTCTTTCGAAACGCCTCTCTTCCGAAGAAATTGATGCGAAATTAAATGATGTGGTATGATTTCTTGTTGCTTTCTCTCAAGAATAAAATCTCTAAATTGCTTTTTGTTTGTTTACATTGATTTACGCTATTTCAGCTGCTAGTATTAAAATATGTGCAAAATAAGGATGTTTTTATGCGATTTTATAAGGCGCATCTTACTCGGCGATTAATACTTGAATTAAGCGCTGATCAAGAAAAAGAGGAGCAAATGATTACAAGGTTTCTAAATTTCTGCTGCAAATGGCTAATTTTTATGTGCGCTGTGTATCGCTTATGTATTTATTTCTAAATGTTATCATTTTCTATTGAATGCAATCATTAATGTTATCTAAATGAAATTGAACAGTGATGTAATGACAATATCAATTAAATTAGTAAATTAATAATTGATAACATCTAGTGTTTGTAGAATGAGAGAAGTGGGAATGCCGGCTGATTTTGTATCAAAATTATTCCGTATGTTACAAGATATTGAAGTGAATAAGGATTTGAATAGCGCTTTCAAAAATTCGATTGCATCAAATAACAACTGCATTGCAGGTAATAATTTTTGATGATTTTTCACTGCTTTTTTAACTGATTTATATAGGACTCAGTTTTTTTTTTTGATTTTTTGTATTATCACATTACTTATCATGTGGTAATACAAAAAATTCTCCAGTGATCGGGAATATATCACCGCATGCCAGAAATGTGGAATTAAACTTAAAATCGCTAGCTAAATGGTTTTTTCAGTGATGTTTAATTTCACTAATTCCACCGATATTTGATATTTAAAATTATTAAATATAGATTCAATCTCAATCAAAATTTTGAATGCTGGTGCATGGTCACGTGGTGCAGCTGATCGTACGCAAGTGCAGATGCCTCGTGAGTTGGAAGATTTCATTCCTGAAGTTGAGGATTTCTATCGCAAGCAGCATTCAGGACGGAAATTGCAATGGCATCATCATTGGTCGCATGGCACGGTATTTTATGCATTAATTTCTCGATTTTTTTGAACATTTTAAGGGCACTGGTGATAATGAACTTTTAAAGTATCAACTTTGCCTTATTTTTAAGATTGTTTTTACGAATGAAATGGGAAAATTTGATTTGGATGTAACTACTTTACAACTTTCTGTGCTATATTGTTGGAATGATCGTCCATATGAGCACCTTTCTTTCGAATGTTTACGCACTGCTACGCAGCTCTCTGCTCCGGAACTTGCTAGGACATTATATGTAAGTCTTTTGCTATTTTTCGACACTAAATATATGTGATTTGCATTCATTCACAGTGCATGCTAGGTATTGTTGAATAAAAAGATATTATTAATTTAGTTCATCTTTTAATATTTGTTCTACTGAATTTGTATTGCAGTACTTTTACTTAAAAGTGCTTTACAGTCTCTTGTGGCATTCCCGAAAATGCGACATCAGGTGCTGTGTACAAATTGCTCAACTTTGAACTCACGCGACTTCAACGATTCAACGTTATTTTGGATAAATCAAGAGTTCACAATCGTTAAAGTAAGTACTAGTTATGTGTTAGCAATGAAAGTGCTTCAAGAGCACGCTGAGAATTCAAATTCTGTTAGACACTGTTAATGCGAAATAAAAATTTTTATTTCTTATTCGTGAAGCGACCGTTATCAAACATTCATTCATACTTTCTTAAAAGTTGAAATAAATTAATTTTACATTCATCTCCATTTTTGTTTATAATCTTGTCATTTTCTACCTGAATCACTCGAAATAATACTTATTTGGTGTGCTTGAAATGTGACTGCTTAAAAGACAATACAGATTTTTCCATTTTTTCTTATTTCAGCATTTCAGTTAAAAATTCTCGCTCATACTCGTTTTTGTGATATTTTGATGAACATTTTTTGATGATATGTACTCTTTTTGTGTTTAGAGGTATCGGTTAGTTAACTCATAGTAAAGCTGAGTTTGATTCTCATTTTCACATGAATTTCAGTGTGATTTTCAGAATGGCAGGGAGCAGAATCGCGGTCGAATCAATTTGATTGGTCGTTTGCAATTGTCCGTGGAGACAAATGTACAAGAGGAACATGATGATATCATTGCTTTACGTGTTTTGCGTGTGCAAGAGGCTATCGTCAAAGTACGGTTTGAAGAATTTTTTATTTTCACTTTCCTAACGTGGATAATCATGATTTTATGCATTTGCATGTATAGTGAGAGAATAATGAATAAACATTAATAGCGAAATGATAGAATAATGATAATAATTCACAATAGGAATTTATACATGAGTGAAAGGTGACATATTAAGCTATTTAAATTAAATTCGTTAGCTTATGAAGGTATTCGGTGAAATTTGGGAGTAGTAGGAAAAGTGCACGGTCGGAAAGTTGAAATTGTAAATATTTTGCATCGAATGCATTAGTTAATACAAATGTATGAAATTGTAGCTACCCTCCAAATATAGAAAATATACTGAAGTATGATTTGAGTTATCTACTGGGAGACTTGTTACAAGACTTGTGAGTTGCAGCAGCTCATGAATTGATTAGCAGAATAAAATTCACAGTTCTGTTATATAATGTTTGTATGTGATTTAGTTTTTACAAAATGCCGATGCTTTCATTTGTTTTCTAACTTTTTTTAGTTTAATTTAAAAAAAAATAACAGGTTATGAAAATTCGTAAGCGTTGTCAAAGTGCGCAGCTGCAAACCGAATTAATCGAATTATTGAAACATATGTTTTTGCCGCCGAAAAAAATGATAAAAGAACAGGTGGTTTTTCAAGATTTTTTCAGGTTTCAAAAAATTCAGCAGTGAAAATCTTTATCCATAAATAAACAATTAAAAAAAATGCTTATTGCTTTTTAATGTACTTCTAAAAGATGGCTGACCCTAATTATTTTCATATTTATATTGAATTTTGAAAGACTTGCGCTGACATTTTGAAAAATATTCTTTTTTTTTTTTAAAGCAATAACCATCTACCAACTTTAAAAGGCATTTACCGACTTTTTAGATAGAGTGGTTGATCGAAAATGGATTCATTATCCGCGATTCAAGCGATCTGAACGTGTTTTTGTATGTTACATAATTATGATATTGGTTACTTCGTCGACAAGTTGGATGTAAATACACCCGTTTTGGAAATTTAAAATATGTTAAATTGATGTGCATAGAAACCATTTTTATTTATACTCTTGTGGAATTTATTATCTTGTTTATAGAATTAGGGAAATTGTAATGTTTTATAGTCTTAAAAATTTTGGCCAGAATTTTTTTTCTTTGCTATTTACCCATTCTGTCTTTTAATCAATTATCATGTTGTTATTCAATAATAGGATAAACTTTATTCGAAGCATAATTTGTGCTCAATACTGATGTAACGGGTAGATTGTCAGTTTCTTCTTTTTTATTTTTTGTCTTTGCTTGAGGATAGCAAACCTTTCGGGTTCATGAATCTTTTCGATAGATAAGAGAACTACAAAATGTGAATACTTGTCTTTTCTACAAATTCTACCCCTTCTCCGCTTCTTTTGACTTGAAAAATCGTGATTAGCTCGATTTTAGTAACCTGAAATGGTGAATGTTCGTATATTTTTTTCGTGAAGCAAATTATTCAACAACTGATTTGTTTCCAGATTGTATATTTATTGTCAAATTTATCTTCTTTTTCTCTTCTTAATTCTTAAAATTTTTGTATAAATTGTATTAAAAACGAGTGTTTTGGCAACATCAAACATTTGTATAAAATGGTTAAACAATGAATTCAGAAGGACAGATGGAGAATAAATAAATAAATTGATGTGTTAATTTTTCACAATAACAGTGATATTATGATATTGAGAAATGGAAATTATATTCTTGAAAAAAGAAAGGGTGTATTACATTGCATAACCTGGAAAAGTTAGAATATAATCATTCTACGAATATTGGTACTGTGCTTATTTAAGCTGAGAGTATTAACGAATTTTCTGTCAGGAAAATCATTCAATCACATTTCCCTCTCAGTCAGCCTTAAAGATTCTATCTTTTTAATTGCATGTTTTAATCATGTATCTATCGAGTTACTTTTCTTAATTATTTTTAATTTTACTTGCAGTTATTGATTTTTTTCTGCATTTATCAAAGTTATTAGTTTGCTTTCTTTTTTTTCATGTTTTTTTTTTGCAGATGCAATAAGAAATATTCATCATGCTTGTATAAATAAAAGATGATTGGCTCCAGACAATGCTTTATATGGCTTAGAAAAGAAGAAAAAAATTTAATTTTCTTTTAAAAAATCAATAGGAGAAACTCTAATTTTCTGTTTTTTTTTCAGTTGAGCAAAAAAGCCAGTTTGAGGGAGAATTTTTCTTTTTTCAAATGTATATATATATAGCAATCTCATCCGGCTCTCTCATATGGAACACACAGTGCTATGCGGAAATGATATTAAAAAATGGTGAAAAATAAAAAAAAAATAGCTTTTAAAAATTGGTATCATTACAATTCTATCTATGGCTAATTGTAGTTTTCATTTCTGTTGTTGTTGTTGCTACCTATCATCGACAATTATGCTTTTAAATTATGATGAGCGATATTGGGAAATGCTTCGATGATTTCGAAACAACAAAATATTTATCTCCTCATCGATCCACTCTGCTTTCATTTAGTTTTTAGACTGGAAACTTTTTTTTTAAGTGGATTTTTGAAATCTAAATCGTTGTTTTATCAATATTGCTGGAAAACAGTATCGGATAAAATTACTCGTAAATTTTACTCCCAATTACTTCCTGTTATCTATGTATTTCAATTTTTATCTTTGAAATTTTAAATTCATTCAGCTTTTAAGAGAATCAATTATTGAATGGATTTGTGATATTTTAGGATTGATCAGCAATTTC